TTGTTCTCCATAGTGAAGAAGAAAACTTCATCCTCATCATGACAGAGGCATATTTAGCTCTTGCTCTTATAAACACATTGAAGTCTTCATCCTCTTTCCAGTCCCAGCTTCCTGAAAACTATGTACCTTCAGGCTCTGATTACCTTTGAAGCTTCCTTCTCTATCATGGATAGAGAAACCTGTATGCAGGTCAGGAAGCAACAGTTAGAACTGGACATGGAACAACAGACTGGTTCCAAATAGGAAAAGGAGTATGTCAAGGCTGTATATTGTCACCCTGCTTATTTAACTTATATGCAGAGTACATCACGAGAAACGCTGGGCTGGAAGAAGCACAAGCTGGAATCAAGATTGCTGGAAGAAATATCAATAACCTCAGATATGCAGATGACACCACCCTTATGGCAGAAAGGGAAGAGGAACTAAAAAGCCTCTTGATGAAAGTGAAAGAGGAGAGTGAAACAGTTGGCTTAAAGCTTAACATTCAGAAAACTAAAATCATGGCATCTGGTCCCATCACCTCATAGGAAATAGATGGGGAAGACAGTGGAAACAGTGTCAGACTTTATTTTGGGGGGCTCCAAAATCACTGCAGATGGTGACTGCAGCCATGAAATTAAAAGACGCTTACTCCTTAGAAGGAAAGTTATGACCAACCTAGACAACATATGAAAAAGCAGAGACATTACTTTGCCAACAAAGGTCTGTCTAGTCAAGGCTATGGTTTTTCCAGTGGTCATGTATGGATGTGAGAGTTGGACCGTGATGAAAGCTGAGTGCCGAAAAATTGATGCTTTTGAACTGTGGTGTTGGAGAAGACTCTTGAGAGTCCCTTGGACTGCAAGGAGATCCAACCAGTCCATCCTAAAGGAGATCAGTCCTGGGTGTTCATTGGAAGGACTGATGCTGAAGCTGAAACTCCAGTACTTTGGCCACCTCATGCGAAGTGTTGACTCATTGGTAAAGACCCTGATACTGAGAGGGATTGGGGGCAGGAGGAGGAGGGGACGACAGAGGATGAGATGGCTGGATGGCATCACCGACTCAATGGGCATGAGTTTGAGTCAACTCCGGGAGTTGGTGATGGACAGGGAGGCCTGGCATACTGCAATTCATGGGGTCGCAAAGAGTCGGACACGACTGAGCGACTGAACTGAACTGAACACATATATATGACAGTATTTTGTCCCTCATTCTTAAGCATTTAGAACAGAAGCTGGAGATTTCTGCATGTACTCATTCTGTCATACTGACCCAGAAATTTTGATTCTATTTTTTAAATAAATTATTACTAAACAACAAAAACTAAAATCCTTTGAATTTAGTGATCAAGACACTTGATGTAGGGGGTAAGTGAATCATTTTTTTCAGTTCTCTCTTTGGGTTTTATATCATTGTATGGATGACTGTGATAATAACTGTCATCATAGTGACATCCAATATGTTCAAATTATGTGGCTTCTTTAAAGCACTTGACATGCACTGTTCCTGGAAGAATAAATATAGTTTGTACTTTTATCTCCATTTTTCAAATGAGGAAAACTAAATGAATCAGACAACTAGTTAAATGATTAACCCAGGATGGAGTCTTACCTTTTACATATGAAAGCAATATTTAAGGTCAATATTTAAGGACATGTCCCATATCAAGTGCTCATTTAACTAGATAAATGATTCCCAAACTTTTAAACAAAATGTTTTCATACCTTCAAATGAATTCATTTAAATTGTTGTGAAAATTAAATCCATTGTTTTCAGAGTTTAAGGATTACACTCAAACTAACTATGCAAGTAAAAGACAAGATTTCTTTTCTTTCCTCCCCTTGCTCAGTAACATCTCTCTGGCAGCATCAACTAAGAAAGTCAAGCACCTATATATCTCAGTGACAAATGTCCCTTAGGGCTTCCCAACTGAATCTCCAGATCTAGAGTTGAACAGATTTTTTAATTTCAGATTCACCTTCAATACAAAAACTATTACCGTGAACTGACTTTTATGTCTTAGTGTACTTGAGGAAGTAATAAAGTAATTCTGTATTTTCTATCCAGAGCTGAATCAGTATGCTTCCAAACAACTGAATGTAAAACACTGGTAGTCAGCTGTTGAATTCCATGTCCCCTTATTTACTTCCAGTATTTCCTGGAAATGTAGAGGAAAATGTTGATGACTGTTTCAAATTCTCTCAGGAGCTAGTTCCAAGGGCTAGTGGGCTAGTTCCAAGGGCTAGTGGTTCTAGCCATGTTGTTGGTGGCAGTGTTCTTAGAACACTTCCCCTCAAATAGGAGACAGGCAGAGCTTGCTTCATCTGGGGTGGGTTTTCTGCAGGAAGAGAGGCACGATGATCAGAGTTAGACAACTGAGAATTAACTATACTGCTAGCCCCTGGAGAAGGAAATGGAAACCCACTCCAGTATTCTTGCCCGGCAGTCTTACAGTCCATAAGGTCGAAAGAGTTGGACATGACTTAGTGACTAAAGAAAGAAAAGAAATGAATTCATATTATATTAAATATGATAGCATCAACAAATATTTGACAAATTGTAATAAATGTTATGCATTCAGTCCATAGTCTATGCTTCACATGAAGAATTCACAAACCTTAGTGGTAACTCCATAGCACCCAGGCTTTGATGTTATCTACATCATTCATGGAACATTCTTATTCCCTTAAATTTTCACCATGAGTATTAAATACATAATGAAACTCTATCTGAACTTCTCAAAGAATTAGAAGAGTCCTGATATGATAGTGATGAAATGTAAGATGGATCATTCAATGGGAATATAGATATATAAATATTTTCTACTAACCTTCTTATAATTCCTAGAAGATAATAAAGACAAAATCAAATTAAGATTTAAAGAAGAAAAACATTAGACAAGAAGGGAGATAAGACAAAAGATATACAATCTATTGTCACACTTTTAAGGCTGATAAGTTTTCAATTCTACTAATTATTAAAAGATGTTAGAGAATTTTTTCTTTTCAGTGAAGCCTGTCCCTGAACAGAAAGGAAGATCTTGCTGATACAGGCCAGTATTTCCTTTTGTGAATATAACATGACTATATGGTCTGGGGGTCATATTTTTAAAACTACTTATATAATAAATCTTCACAGTTTGCAACAAACTATAATTACTAGCTAGAACTATTTCTACACAAATTTTTTAGCAAATGAGTAGCTCTATTCTCTATTTAAGAGTAAAACTGAAATGTTTGTATCACTCATTTCAGCTAGCATTATTTTATTTAAATAATACTAACTTTTCCAAATATAAAAGTAATATATGCATGCTGTGGGCTTCCCTGTTGAATCGGCAGTAAAGAATCTGCCTGCAATCTGGGAGACCTGGGTTCTATCCCTGGGTTGGGAAGGTTCCCCTGGACAAAGGAATGGCTACCCATTCCAGTACTGCCTGGAGAATTCTATGGACAGAAGAGCCTGGTGGGCTACAGTCCAAGGGGTCACAAAGAGTCAGACACAATTGAGTGATACAAACACACACACATGCATATTGTAGGAAAAGAGAGAAATGTTAGGAGGAAAAAATTAAGTACAAAATAGCAACATTAGCCACTATCAATATTTTGTGACAGACATAGGGTTCAATCACAGGTTTGATTCCATGGTGTAAGTTCTGAACCCTTACGTGATCTACTTGCTAATTTCCTGGCTTCAGTTGAAGTTCAAGATACAGTAATAGAAATAGCATATCTTCACCTCAATTTAAAAGTTTTCTGGGCTTCTGGATTAAGACAGAGAGATACAACATATGCATATAATTTTGTTGTCTCTCAAAATCCTTCTAAAATGACAGTAGAGGGACTTTTTTAAAGCATAAATCCATAAGGATGGTAAGAATCAAAGAGAAGAAAGCAGCAAGTAAGTTTTGGAAGCTGTGGTGCAAAAGGACTGCTGTAACCAATTTAGCAAAACTAAGAAAGCTGAATCTCAAACTAGTAGTAGGGAAAGCCAAGCGTTCATCTGATTTATACTGTACAGATTGGCGGCAGTGGGGATAGCTAAAATAAGATAACTAGTTCAGAGCCTTTCAAGAAATTGCTAGGTCCCAAAGATCCCTCCCTTCCCTTAACCTTGACACAGCTAACAACTATTCTTCCCCAACCTGAGCAGAGACTACAGTTTTATTCCTTGAAGAGACTCTCTGGACTGGGAAACCAATGGCACAATTAAAGATTGAAGAAGCCTACTGAAAGGGTGGATTTAAATAAACATACATCTGAACAGTGAACCCATATCCCACCCCAGGTGTCTTCCCCTACTCAGATTCCATTAAGAGTGGAATATAAGCCTTCACATGTAGCTCTGGGCAACTGATTGGAAAAGCCTTCTCTGAGGAATCTGAGCAGCCCAAGGGGAAAAGATACTGACATTGGAATTCCCCCAGTGAAAAGTCCCTAACAGCTCATCTTACACAGAAGTGCACAATCAACAAGCTTCACCCATGTACTCAGAGAGTCTTAGCGGTTTTTAGTCCTACATACTTAAAGATTATCAGAAAATGTGGAAGTTAAAGTTCAATACAGACAGAAGAAATGCAATCTTAAGTAAACAGAAATTGTACAGGGAATACATTCAAAAAGGAAGTAATTATATTGGCTTCCAACTTGTCATCAGCAATATTGGAAGAGAGAAGGCTTCCAATTACTTCAAAGTTCTGAAGAAAAACTGTATCCAACTCAGAATTCCATCCTCAGGCAAGTGAAAAAGTAAAATAAACATGTTTTCAGGGGATTCCCTGGTATCCACTGGTTAGGACTCTGCTCTTTCACTGCTGAGAGCCCTGTATAAAATTTTTGCTGCAAATGGAAATTCCAGTTTTGTCATGAAACAACCCCTTTAATGGTTTATCTTTTACTCTGTGTAACTCTGTATTTCTTTTCACTAATTTCCTCCATAAAAGCTCTGCATAATGGTGTGTGTTTTGATTTATGAGAATTCTTCTAGCCTTTATTTCATGTGCGTTTTTTTCTTACCTTGTTATTCTCCTTGGCAGATGCTTGTATTAATATTTGACCCATGCAAGAGATGTTCAGCCAAAGATAGCCCTCAGTCAGATTGTGGCCTGAGACAGATGGTGAGGCCCAGTCTATGCCTTGGAGAACTCAGATTACATTTCTAGGGTGTTCTCATATGACAGCTGTGTGCCTTTGATCAAAACACTGAGAAACACAAGCCCTCACGTCCTCCTCAGCACAAAAACAGCCAAGACCTTGTTCTCTTGAATCAAGGAAATGCAATTTCCCCATAAATTTTCATATGTAGTAAATACCTACACTTGCAGGGGTGCTGCAGAGATGCAGGATGACATGGGTCAGACAGAAAGAAGACCTCTGCAAGAGAGGGAAGGGCCTTCAGGAGGGTGTTTCCCAACGTGCCTGCTATACCATCCATACCGATAATAGTGCTTGGCACATGCTTGGGGATTATTAAATACTGTTGAATAAACATGCTGATGCTTTGCCTGGCATGTCCTTTGCTTTTCCCAGATTGACACATTTCTGCTCATCTTTAATATCCAATTTACTGATCTCTTATACAACTTTCTGAGACCCCTTCAAACCCTTTCCTCTATATACATTTGCATTTTGAACAGATTTCTGATGCTTGTTCTTATAATACAGCATTGCAGTTATTTGATTGCCTGTCTATCCTCCTGGTCTTCCCATGTGGCACGAGTAGTAAAGAACCCGCCTACCAATGGAGAGGATGTAAGAGAGGTGGGAAGATCCCCTGGAGGAAGACATGGCAACCCACTCCAGTATTTTTGCCTGGAGAATCACATGGACATAGGAGCCTGGCAGGCTACAGCCCATAGGGTCACAAAGAGTCGGACATGACTGAGGTGACTTAACAAGTCATGCTATCCTCCCTATGAGACTTTTAATTCCTTGAGAGCTTACAGCTTTGAGTTATTTATCTCTGTATTCATGCTGCCTAGCATGGTGTCTGATTATTTATTTATTCTTTATTCAACAGAATTGAAGTGCCCACTATGTTCCAGGCACCAGTATGGCCTTTTGGGATAAAGCAGTGAACAAGACATGAAACTTACATGCTCCCCAGGCTTACATTCTATTAACGGTTGAAGACAATTCAAGTCACAGTGATAAGTGCAATGATGACAGTCCTGAGTGCATTATTGGAGAACATGGGAAGGGCATCATGCTCAAAATTTGAGAGATCTGGAAAAGCCTACAAAAGAAGGCTTCCCAGAAAAGCAAAGAATATCTGAAGAATAGATTGAAGTTAGCTAGGAAGGGTGGAAATGAGTGCTTCAAGAAGTACAGCGAGTTTGGGAAATGGAAGAAGGACAAAAGAACAGAATAATAAGAAAGGAAAGGAATAGAAAGCCCAGAGATAAATCCACGAACCTATGGTCACCTTATCTTTGACAAAGGAGGCAAGGATATACAATGGAAAAAAGACAACCTCTTTAACAAGTGGTGCTGGGAAAACTGGTCAACCACCTGTAAAAGAATGAAACTAGAACACTTTCTAACACCATACACAAAAATAAACTCAAGATGGATTAAAGATCTAAATGTAAGACCAGAAACTATAAAACTCCTAGAGGAGAACATAGGCAAAACACTCTCCGACATAAATCACAGCAGGATCCTCTATGACCCACATCCCAGAATTTTAGAAATAAAAGCAAAAATAAACAAATGTGACCTAATGAAACTTAAAAGCTTTTGCACAACAAAGGAAACGATAAGCAAGGTGAAAAGACAGCCCTCAGATTGGGAGAAAATAATAGCAAACGAAGCAACAGACAAAGGATTAATCTCAAAAATATACAAGCAACTCCTCCAGCTCAACTCCAGAAAAATAAATGACCCAATCAAAAAATGGGCCAAAGAACTGAACAGACATTTCTCCAAGGAAGACATACAGATGGCTAACAAACACATGAAAAGATGCTCAACATCACTCATTATCAGAGAAATGCAAATCAAAGGAAACTATAAGCAAGGTGAAAAGACAGCCCTCAGATTGGGAGAAAATAATAGCAAACGAAGCAACAGACAAAGGATTAATCTCAAAAATATACAAGCAACTCCTCCAGCTCAACTCCAGAAAAATAAATGACCCAATCAAAAAATGGGCCAAAGAACTGAACAGACATTTCTCCAAGGAAGACATACAGATGGCTAACAAACACATGAAAAGATGCTCAACATCACTCATTATCAGAGAAATGCAAATCAAAACCACAATGAGGTACCATTACACACCAGTCAGGATGGCTGCTATCCAAAAGTCTACAAGCAATAAATGCTGGAGAGGGTGTGGAGAAAAGGGAACCCTCTTACACTGTTGGTGGGAATGCAAATTAGTACAGCCACTATGGAAAACAGTGTGGAGATTTCTTAAAAAGCTGGAAATAGAACTGCCATATGACCCAGCAATCCCACTTCTGGGCATACACACCGAGGAAACCAGATCTGAAAGAGACACGTGTACCCCAATGTTCATCGCAGCACTGTTTATAACAGCCAGGACATGGAAGCAACCTAGATGCCCATCAGCAGATGAATGGATGAGGAAGCTGTGGTACATATACACAATGGAATATTACTCAGCCATTAAAAAGAATGCATTTGAATCAGTTCTAATGAGATGGATGAAACTGGAGCCCATTATACAGAGCGAAGTAAGCCTGAAAGATAAAGACCATTACAGTATACTAACACATATATATGGAATTTAGAAAGATGGTAACGATAACCCTATGTGCAAAACAGAAAAAGAGACTCTTATGTATAGAACAGACTTGTGGACTCTGGGAGAAGGCGAGGGTGGGATGTTTCAAGAGAACAGCATTGAAACACGTATATTATCTAGGGTGAAACAGTTCACCAGCCCAGGTTGGGTGCACGAGACAAGTGCTCGGGCCTGGTGCACTGGGAAGACCCAGAGGGATTGGGTGGAGAGGGAGGTGGGAGGGGGGACCGGGATGGGGAATACATGTAAAAAAAAAAAGATACACTATGGTTGTGATAAAAAAAAAATAATTAAATAAAATTAAAAAAAAAAAAAGAAAGGAAAGGAAAAAAGAAAGGAAGAAACAGGTGAAAAAGAAGAAGGGAGGAATGGAAGAATTGATGAGAGGGGAAAGGAAGGGATGTTATATTATCTTATTTGCCTTGTACTACTTTTTCTTCCAATGGCGGCCACTGGTGGGGATCCAAGGGTGATCCCCACCCTTCTCATTTGGGGGATCTGACTTATCCCCAGTCACAGAATCACAAGCAATTTTAGAGTATAAAGGGCTTTCAATACCAAGTTCTATCCCTCTTATTCTACAATTATGAAAACTGAGAACTTCGCTATTGTTCAGTAGCTCAGTCATGCCCAACTCTTTGTGACCCCATGATCTGTAGAACGCCAGGCTTCTGTGTCCTTCACTATCTCCCAGAGTTTGCTCAAACTCTTGTCTGTTGAGTCAATGATGCCATCCAACCATCTGATCCTCTATTGTCCCCTTCTCCTCCTACCCTCAATCTTTCCCAGCATCAGGGTCTTTTCAAATGAGTTGGCTCTTCACATCAGGTGGCCAAAGTATTGGAGCTTCAGCTTCAGTATCAGTCCTTCCAGCGAATATTCAGAGTTGATTTCCTTTAGGATTAACTGGTTGGATCTCCTCGCTGTCCAAGGGACTTTGAAAAGTCTCCTCCAACACCACAGTTCAAAAGCATCAATTCTTCAGTGCTCAGCCTTCTTTATGGTCCAACTCTCACATCCCTACACAGCTACTGGAAAAACCATAGCTTTGACTAGTCAGACTTTTGTTGGCAAAGTGACGTCTCTGCTTTTTAACATGTTGTCTAGGTTGTTCACAGCTTTGCTTCCAAGGAGCAAGCGTCTTTTAATTTTCATGTCTATAGTCATCCTCCGCAGTGATTTTGGAGCCCAAGAAAATAAAGGGTTAATGTTTCCATTGTTTCCCCATCTATTTGCCATGAAGTGATGGGATCAAATGCCATCTTAGTTTTTTGAATGCTGAATTTTAAACCAGCTTTTTCACTCTTCTCTTTAACCTTCATCAAGAGGTTCTTTAGTTCTTTGCTTTCTTCCATTAGGGTAGTGTCATCTGCATATCAGAGGTTATTGATATTTAAATTAATAATAGCAACATTCTGCTTTTATCTCTTATGTCACCCCTATCCAGTTTGATCCCAATAGCACCGTGAAGCAGGATCATTTTTTTTTTTTAACATATGAGGAAACTGAGGCTCAAGTGGAATTAGTGGTACAGTTGGAAGCCAAGTCTGGTGTCATATCCATTGCTCATTCCATCACACTTCAATTCCTCTTCCAAAGTCACACTGTCAGAAACAGAGCCAGCAGTAGTCTTGACTCCTTATCCAAAACTCCTTCCAGAAGGCAAGAGTGTCCTGACACCTGATATGGACTGATCACTCCTAATTATCACAGTATGTCCCAATTACAAGAACACTTGTGCTGAATGACTCATTCCCCAATAGCCACAGGGACATTGGAATAATGAGGGTTTACTTCTATACTCACAGAGGTATGTATAAGGAGGTTCACTCAAAATTTTTAAAAAGCAAATTTCTGAATGTTATGTACTATGCTTACATTTTGACAAGTTAAAATAATTGCATAATATTTGATACATATGTAAAAGCAAAGTGTGAAAGTATGGATGGAATGAATACCAAATTCATAATAATGGTTTCCACTAGGAAAGAACAGGAATAAGATAAGAGAAAGTAACATACCATCTTCAATTTCATTGTGCTTTTTCTTCTTAAAAATTTTTAAAAATCTGAACCCAAAACTTAAAGATATTTTATAATTCTTTGTTCATTTCTGCAACAGATTTATTTTTCTAAGCATTTTAATAAGCCTGAAATTTCACATGTAAGCTTCAAGTACTTCTTCCACTCCAGACAACATTTCCAGTTTTCTCATCTGTTAAAGAAGAAAAGATACATTAGATTATTTCTAAGAGCCCTTTCAGCCTTGACACTCAAGCTTCCTTCAAAAT